AAAAGTTTGGTTCTGTCGTACCTTATAGCATAGGAAATTTGTTCGATAAAAAATTACTCATGATTTAGTCAAAATTAGTGCCTTCTTCGCTCCATAGCTTTAAATAAGACGGCAGTTTTCCAAACCAAAGCCCTTCTACTTATTAAATCCACTCAGTTGACCAAAATAACCTGTCCAAATATATGCTAAACTACCCAGTTAAATTTTGTCATAAAAGTTGCTTGCAGGACTTGCCATACTGTATGAGGTTTACGCTTCTGGCCAAGCTTAAGAGAGCTAAACGTCGGTTTAGGTTAGATATAGTGGTTAAGATTAAGTTTAGTGTTAAGTTTGCCTGCGGCATACCGTGGTACCTAATCAGGACTACCTTATCCAACGAACGTCCTCACTGTGCACACTGCATATTGCGCGTCGATTCCAGAATCTCCCTCAAATAGCAAAACGCCAGGGATATGAGTATTTTCAGTGCCTTCTGCTGACCTTGTTAATTTCCTCGTTCGCCTACGGTACTGATAAAACTAACATTACTATTTTCCCAATTTACGGGATTCCTTTTGCTTTCTGTTCGCAGTGAGCGTACATATTCTATCTGTGCCTTCAGTCAGTCAGTCAGTCATCTTCCTAAATTGCAAACGTTTCTATTCTAAGTTCAGCCATTTCTAAGAACTTCCATCGTTCGTCTATTTGCACCTGTAGAACCGACGCTATTATTCAAGAAACAATCAGAATGCAGTTTGCCGATAAAACGATCCTGATGATTGCTCATCGCTTGCACACGATCATCGACTCTGACGAGGTGATCGTCATGGATGCCGGACGAGTGGTCGAGCAGGGTTCTCCGTATGGCCTCTTGGACCCTCTCGGAGCGGCTAGACTTGGCAAACAGGTGCGCAACTCCGCGGATGCGGCCGTTGATACCACGGAAGCGCCGGATTTGATCTCCTCCAGGATCACAAGCAACGGTCCATTTGCAGCCATGGTTAAGCACACCGGAAAAACCTCTAGTGCAGAACTGGTAGAACAAGCCAGACAGGCCTTTATACGCAAATTGGCTCTCTAGTGGGGGGAAGGTCCTATTTTTGAGCAGGTTGACCTAAACTAACTGATATAACCTGATTCGGCACGCAGTCTCGTTCAATTTATATCACTCTACCTTTCCTGTGATTTTTTACAAAAAATTAATTTCTAACTTCTGATTATGTCATATTTTTCGAGCTTTGTCTACATTTGAATGATTTTGCAGGAATATTTTTGGGCTGTGGTCAAACATACTTGAGCGAATCCTCGATAACTCTTGTATGAGAATATGCATCTTCTCGCACGATTTCACCTGAGAAGTATTATTGATTAAATGTAAGGCTATTTTTTCACATCTGCGGAACTTGAGTATTCCTTTGAAAATTTGATTTTTATAAATAAACAGTTAATATTGTTATAATTTCTTTTAAGCTGTAAATTCGCCTAAGATTGCTCAGTATTATTCCAAAGTTTTCGTACATGCGTAAGCGCCAGTTTGTGAGTGATTATCAATTTTTCGCAAATATCGACATGATCTTGCGGCCGCAACGTATGTCCTTGATTCCATAGTGATACTCGGTTGTGCCTTTTGAGAGATTCGAGCTTTTATATGCTTGTTTGAGCCTCACCCTGTTGATAAACTTAACGGACCGCGGAACTGTTTCGAACCTTTGACAAAAGTAATCCTTGCTTGATGGCAGCACTCATATTACCAAACGGAGGGGTTTGAAAAGGAAGCCTACGTCCTCTATAGTTTTTTGCAGTTGGCATTAACAAGTGGAACAAATTCTCCTGCGTTAAAAAGTACTATTACGGTGCCATACGAGGGACATGGGAATAGAGACGCCAAGCCCAATTTATACAGATGGGCTTACGAGCATTTACAGGAAGGGTTTAATATGCCCGTGTCTTAAGTCTAACACTAGCCTAACCTTCAACATTAATCCTAACGCTTACTATACAGTTCACACTCCTTTTCACCTTACACCTGACTCAACTTAACACCGATCGTAACACAAACCACAACACTAAACCAATTTTAATAGAAATTCGGTGTCCACACACATTTATGTCTGATGGTTCCTGTTCTCATGTCTTTTTTAGAGGTTCATGCAAGTCATCCTTATGGCCCCTCCCCTCTCCTGCACCTAGCACAACAGCAAGTTATTTACCGATTACATTATAAGATAGAATCAAATTATAGAAAGAATTACTCCGGCAGAAGACTAGTTATTCACCGTCTTCGTGTAGCATTTATCAAATAGGCGATGGAGAACTGACTCACAAACCGTGCGTACCAGTTTTAGTGATAGTCTAAAAGTCAATGAAAGGGTGATAACTGCAAAATGAATACAAAACTGCCTTCATCTGCCTGATCCACATAAAAGGATCCAATCCAGAGTCGGAAAACTGCCATTAAACTCGCGTTTTCACAAGGTTATGGAAATATTGATAAAACGTCATTTACAGGAGTATCTGAAGCAGAAGAGCCTACCACTTTCGGCCCGATAACCCATGCTTTTATTCGCAGGTAAAGTGGCTAAAATGCATAGAACAGAGCGGTCAATTGAAGATATTATCTTTGGCCTGAACAAGGTATTAGATAGTGGGCCTCATTGGCGACTGCCAGAAAAGATATTGTCCTTTGCGAGTTCGATCATCGAAGGCAAATGGGAAGGAGGGGAAGGGGTCCGATCATTAGTTCTTGTCGTCCCGTCATCCTTCTCTCGCGTTTTTTTGGGAGGCATGAGGACCCAAGGTGTCATTGTCTCGTGACG